CGAGAGACGTGTTTCCCTAAGATTTTCGCGGATGTTCCTTCAACGTCGATTTTTGTAAAAAGTTTTTTTTAACTATGAGCGCATCATCTAACTAAAACCAAACCATGGTTAAAATGTGTCCTAAAGCCTCCTTTATCACATATCGAAAGATCGTTTTAGTTAGACGATGCGCTCGGTGTCAAAAAAGCCTCGGAGTGATAGAAAAACACGAATTTTCGCTAATATACGCCTGCAGACCAATGTTTCGGCAACCGTCTTACACGTATCCGGTGGCCTATAAGCAAAATCATGATTATTTCCGTAAACTACATTGAGTCAACTTGGAAAAACCGCATAAATTTCCAGATTCTGGGAGGAGGCCAAAAAAGGCCCTTATCGATACCCCTCCTTTCAGCCCCCTCGGATAATTAGCGGGGAGGGGGCAGGGAAGCAAAGTTGCAATTTTTTCAAAACTTTAAAAATCGATATCTCGCGAACGGTTTGAGTGTAAGTGTTGCGGTGTGCGCTCAAAAACGTTAAAAATATTCTCTACCAGGATGTGAATGCTGTTTGCACGGTTGCGTAATTTATCGTAGTCATAAATCGATTTTTTCGCTTTTGTAGGTTCAAATTTTTTCGTTTTTCGTCTCTCCGCTCCATGCAATCGTTGCTACATGAAAGAAAACCTGTTGAGGTAATTCTTCATAAAATTCTGCATCTACCACACTTTGTTTGACCTTGGGGAAACGATTCGTTCTTGAGTTATTGCGATTTTTCTGCGCGTTCCCGGTTACGCGCGGGCGGCAAATCGGCGGCGCTCCATCCCGCACGGGCGAGGCAGAGGTTGATTCACCACTAGGGCCTTATATGCATTTATGCATGCTGTAGGCTGTAATTATCGATATTTTTTCCTCTCCCCCACCCTTCTCCCCCAATAAATATGTTTTTATACTTCGTTATACAGGGTGTCCCAGATCACCCGTACCAGATCTTTTTCTCGGTTGGTTTAGGTAGTACGAAGTGGGGGACCGCAAGGTTGAATAGGGAATTGACCCCAAGGAATCCGAATTACCAAACAAAGTGTGGTAGATGCAGAATTTTATGAAGAATCACCTCAACAGGTTTTCATTCACGTAGCAACGATTGCATGGAGCGGAGACACGAAAAACGAAAAAAATTCGAACCTACAAAATCGAAAAAATCGATTTATGCCGACGATAAATTACGCAACCGTGCAAACAGCATTAATATTCTGGTAGAGAATATTTTTAACGTTTTTTAGCGCAAACCGCAACACTTACACTCAAATCGTTCGCGAGATATCGATTTTTAAAGTTTTGAAAAAATTGCAACTTTGCTTCCCTGCCCCCTCCCCCCTAATTATCCGAGGGGGCTGAAATTTTGCCCAAGCATCGGGGACACGTAGTACAACATCTGAGCAAAGTTTGGGCCAAATCCAGGGGGGGGGGGCAAAAATCGGCGTTTTTGGAACAACCTCTTTCCGGTCAGAAGCTTCTGAGCCAGTTTCCTCAGTACTTCATTTTTGCACTTACTGCTCTCTATGCTATCACGGCAGAACAGTTGCTCTAAATTATTACTCGACCTCTATTGAGCATTCGAGACACGACCTAATGTTTGAAAAATCTATTTAACCTGAGCCTTTACTATGGAAAGGATTTAAAAGGTGGAGCAGGTTATAAAGGTCAAAGGTTGGCAACAAACACTTCTCACCCGCTGCAACCTGAGGTCATCAAACTAAACGTCTAGAATGACTGCTGGTTAGGGAACTATGTAACAAGAGTTGGGAGGGAATAATTTGGCTATTACTGAAATTGGTGCGGCAACTCTAAATAGACGCTCGGTCCTCGGAATTCTCTACCTAATAGATACATCAATCCTCAAATTATTTGTCCGATTGACGGTTGATCGGACGTTGCTGATTGACCAAATAATTTCCGAATAATTTTTTCCCGACTCCATGCGTAACGCGCATAAGCCGGTTTTTGAAGGCCGGGAGAGTGTGAAAGCCCACGTATACCTAAACTCAATCTCCATTTCCACCGCGCCTTGCCCATAAAGATTACAAGAGAAGATTTCCACCTTTCTTTTTAAATTATTTTGCGGTGTGCCTTCGAAGTTCCTAATTTTTGAGTGAAGAAGACCCTGTGAGATGCGATTATGATATCATCTTTTCATGGCTATCACTCCATTCAACAATGCCACTATGAAAGCAAAGTGGCTGACATTTTTTGCAAAGTTTCACATGATTGGTACCTTAGAAAAATAAGCTAGACAAGTAATGCAATATTCTTTGATTGTCCTGTTTGAACACGTCTTGATTTCTTATTTTTTTTCTGAATCGGTTAAAAGAAAATCCTAAAACCTCAAGACAATTTAAAACAAACAGAGAACCTAATTTAATACCTACTAATTCCTCTTTAAACATGGCCGTAAAAATTCATCTTAACAACTCAAGTAAAATTCTAAAGTTGAATTCCGACTCTCTTTTTCCCCTATGATCTAGAACAGCTGACAATAGATCGTATTCGTTACATCAAACCCGTGAGATTGTATCGATATCGATTGGTTCAAAACATAAAAATGGCCTCAAAAGTCCATTGAGTAATGTGAAGGAACGGGTTTTTTGTGATGGATTTTTGATGCGTATGAGTACTAATTGGCCAAAAGTAGTAAAATTGCTGCGAAATTTCTCATTTTCAGCTTTTCGGATAAATAACCTAATATTTTAGTTGGAGGTTATGTTCTATTGTTTTGAACCAAACAATACATCGAACCACTATCGAATACGATCCATGAGTTTTACCGTATCGTCAGTTCTATGGCAACGACTCTGACCGAGCGGCAACGGGAGAGATCCCAGCGGAAGGCCTCCTCCCAACCCGCCTACCAGGAAATCCAATTTCCGGGCCAGGAAAAATCGGGAACGCGACGCAGGGGGACGTGGATAATTTTCCCGAACTAAATTTTTCGTGACGCGCCGGCAGGTACCACGCCCCTCGCGAAAGGACTATCCCGTCCGTCCGCGTCAGGACCCGTCCATCCGCAATTTTGATCTGAATTTAAATTCATATATTAAGATATTCGGCAAAATGTGGGCAGTGTTTAACATGGGTTTAGATGGCAGCTTGCAGTGTGAGCCCAAGTGAGTCTAACCTAAATCAATATCAATGTGTTATGCAGAGTTTGCACTAGTCAGCTATAGACGTGTTCAATTCGTTGCCTGGGGTGGGCGCCATTTTTTTGTTTGTCCTAAGAGTCTTTCACGGTGCGCTTGAACTCACTTTAAATGCGACTTAAAGGTACATCAAAAATTCAAGTTGGAGGTTGTAGTTGGGTACTCCCTGATTGGTTTTTGGGCAGTTTCGAAATAGGTTGTCGGAGCTCCTCGAAAAATAATCGCATTTTTGTGGTTTTTTAGGGGTAAAACAGGAAAATTGGCCTTAGGGCGACAAATTATAATAAAATTGGTCATTACGGTTCTTCTGTACTCTATGCATTTGAAAATTATGCCATTACTTACTTGATGGGTCTCTCTTGTTGAGTTAGCTGCACCCATCAAGTAAGTAATGGCATAATTTTCAAATGCATAGAGTACAGAAGAACCGTAATGACCAATTCTAAACGGAATAAAAATCCAGACCTTGAGGTTGTAACGCGATTTGGATCATTTTGACGAATTTTAAATCGTGAAGCTGGCAACGCTGCAACTTTAAATTGTTCAAATATGCTTAATCTTATCGAAAACTCTCAAATTGCACATTTTTCGTGAAATTTTGGAGAAAATCACACCTCGAAACCTTCATTTTATCATCAAATTCGATATTTTTGAGTCCGCAACTTGGCAACGCTGCCGCGGGGGCAAAAGATTTTGTATGGGCATGAAAATTTCAGAAAAGTCACATCTTATACCAGGTTAATACATACTAAAAGTTCAAATCGGTCACGGCAAGGATGAGAGAGAAGAGGTTTAATTTGCCGCCCCGTGCCCAGTGTGCTATTTTACCCTTAAAAAACCACAAAAATTCAATAATTTTTCAAAAATCTCAAACACTCCATTTCGAAATTGGCCAAAAACCCATCAGGCAGTACCCTACTACATCCTACGATTAGAATTTTTTAATTTGAATGGATATCACACTTCGAAACCTTCATTTTATCATCAAATTCGATATTTGGGAGTCCGCAACTTGGCAACGCTGCCGCGGGGGCAAAAAATTGTGAATGGGCATGAAAATTTCAGGAAAGTCACATCTTATACTAGGTGAAAACATACTAAAAATTCAGATCGGTCAGTGCAAGGATGAGGGAGAGGGGGTTTAATTTGTCGCCCTAAGGCCAATTTTCCTATTTTACCCCTAAAAAACCACAAAAATGCGATTATTTTTCGAGGAGCTCCGACAACCTATTTCGAAACTGCCCAAAAACCAATCAGAGAGTACCCAACTACAACCTCCAACTTGAATTTTTGATGTACATTCAAGTCGCATTTAAAGTGATTTCAAGCGCACCTTGCTTTATGAGACCCATGACTTAGTGGCCAGTGGCCTTACTCTCCCTATAATGGTACTCACCACCCATTCGAAAGTTTGAAAATGTTCCGAATTCAAAGAGAGCCAGTTTGTGTCCATATTTTGAACTTCGACCGGCCGCCATATGGTCGAAAATTAAGATTTTAACTTACGGTTTCCACAAAAAACCTCCTTTTTTTGGGTATTCTTTTTCAATTGATGCGTCGCAGAAGGGGGGACAGGGGGAAATTAACATTTGGAGAAGAAAAGTTAGGGTCCGTAGCTCCCTCTATGGTGGGCCCAAAAAGTAGCTCACTTTAGTCCGTGAACATACTGGAAGTTTCGTTACAAAATATGAATTATGAGTAAAATATAAGAGGGGTGGACCGGACTTTTGGGACACCCTGTGTAAAATTGGTAACAAGTTACCGCTTTCATAAGTTCTTAGAATTCCGCACAAGGCTGTGCTTAAAGATATTTGCTTCAGTAATATTTTTTTTTAACAAGTTTATTCATAAACCTGTACATTAACCATACAAATTAATTTATAAATAGCTACAATGCTAAAAGACATCTTGAGAGAGCTCTGCAATAATGGTATGGTGTCTAAAATTCTCGATTTTTTTCATTCCGTGATATCCCTTTGATATTCTCTGATTTCCACAGAATGTTCCCTGAGGAAAACCTGAGATTTCCTCTCAAATTCCCCTATATTTCTTGAAAAAGTAAACAAAACTATTTTCCCAAGTTGGTGGGAAAAATCAACATTTTCATCTTTTGTCAAATTCTTTAAAGTCAAATCAACCGGGAATTATTCGGAAACAACAGCTTTAAGAATAATTTCATTTTGGACACGAAAGGAAAGGAATTTAAAGTTTTTGGCATCACTTTCATGACAAATTCCGTAGTTTTCCTAGATCTTCCCCTTTCCTGATGGAACCCGGTTTTTCCAGGTCCTAGACACCATGAATTAAAATAGAACAAAAGCCTTAGAGGACATTTCCGTGTTGAAAAAATCTCCTTCAAAAGGTAATCACATACAAAGCGAAAAGAACAGGAAAAACTGTCTGTGCATCCAAAAGCCATTAAAAGAATTATATAAAAATTTGCTTTAGTTTGAATATACCCCATGATGGTTCATTAAAGGCTTAAAGTACATGTTATGTAGCATGATATCAAACAATAAGTATTTGTAAAGACTGAGCTTGATGTATCACAATATATTTTCTGTCTTGAAGCTTGACAGAAGACAATTCCAGAATGATGTTCATCCAAAACAACCGCCCAGAAAGATACCGCCACACAAGGACCACAAGAAAAGATAAATAAACACCTGAATATGATAAAAAGACACTTGGAATTAGTATAAACACTAAAATGAATTAAAATAGATGGATAAAAATTAAAATAAATTAGTAGATTTGTTCACATTTTTTTCATTCATTTGGTTTCTTTGGGTTAGTTTTGTGGCAAGCCAAATCTTTTACTTGCAAGCTAAAAAATAAAAACACTACAATTGTGGCTCACACTGTAAGGAATGACAAGATGGTAGAATAATGGAGAGTCCACCCTATTCTGCAGGAAAATAAAATATTCTTTCTTGCTTGTCGGGAAGATGTGCTTTTCTTGTTCAGAAACCGGCAGTTAGGTCTAGATATGTATGCATCTGAAACTGTTTGATTATGATTTTTTGGGGTTTTTCTTGTTTTATCCTGAGAGTTGTTTAGCAGTGACGGCAGATGGCGCGGAGATCGCACTCTAGTGTCTTGCCTAGCTTCACGTCCATGACGGCGTTTCAATGCCGTCTAAGATTCTGCAGGATGCTCAGCTAAGCTCACTGATGAGTGTGGTCTACTAATGAAGTCTAAAAAGACCCAAAACATTCTCTTGGCAAGATCCCAACTTATTACAGTAAAACCTCGCTAAGTCGGTTTTCATCGGGACCGAGGAAATTTACCGAGTTAAGCGGGTTACCGACTTACGCGGACTGCCACTTTTCCTGCCGCGCTTTTTCAAATTTCGCGCCCTAAATTGGACAAACGCAAACGTGCGTGTAGAGTGACTTGTAGGAGTGTTTAGGAGAGCCATTTGATCGAAGAAAATGGTACTAAATAGTAAAATTTCATGAGATGCACTTGAAATTGCGTGTTGTAAGTGTCAGGGCATCATGAAGTCATCGGGTTAGTCGTTTGTTGGGGTGCCGCGCGGTGATGCGCCGCGGCCGCCCGCTGAGTGGCGGGTCGTTGCACTGAAAAATGAAAATGCAACGTAAACAATACTCGCTAAAATCCTCGAAAAACTCCTCGGGGGAGCGGGGAACGGCAATGCAAGATGGTAGGGGGAGAGGGGCGCGTGCTGATACGAGCGGGCTGAGTGGGGATCGGAGGGAGGAGGAGAGGGGCTCGTGCCGATACGAGCGGGCTGAGTGGGGATGGGAGGGAGGAGGAGAGGGGGAGCTGATGTCGTCTCTCGCACTGCGCTGCGCTCTCTCGGAGATTCGCTCACCCTTCGTGGCGTAACTTGACCCGACCCGCACCGCGCACGGAAACACTACCTACGCTTGATCTCGGGTGACGATCGAAGAAAAACAGGTCGAGATGGAAAAATTTCACCGAGTTAAGCGGGTTCAGAATCTGACCAAACCGAGATACCGAGACTTATTTAGCATTGTGTCATATGGGTGATAAACGGGACCGGGCGATTCTACCGACTAAAGCGGGTTACCGGCTTATCCGGAAACCGACTTAGCGAGGTTTTACTGTATACCGATACATCTACCTGCGCTGAACACTCTCCCTCTTCAGTCTTGGACTCATACTCATAAGAGGTCAAATAATTGGCACAAATTAAAATTTTGGAATTTTTTAGCCTTAATTCCCTGCAGAAAAGTGTGAGCCCAGCACTACTATAACATCCTGTTAATCTATTAATACCTCATTTGGCTTTTTTTGACTTGTTTCAAATTGATGCTGGGAGAGAACTTCTTTCCAGCAGGCCGATTATTGAGAGTATAAAGCAGCGCGATAAGACATTGCAATGAAATACATTGCATACATATTTAAAATACGGCTATGCCTTGTCTTAGTTCCAATAATCTGGTTGCGGGATCGTTACTCCTATAGACTTAATGTTGCAAGCGTCTGCACCATGGCTCGGGCGCCAACAATTGACAATTTTACAAGATGACAATCACCTCGGCTATTAACTTGAGGGCGGGAGGGGACTACTAAATATCAGTTTACGCTGCCCCTAATAGCCAAAATACCTTATAAAATACAAATCAAGATAAGGCAAAAATACGTATCCAAATAAGTATAAAATATGTAATAAATACTGAAAAATACATATAAAATACAGAATCCAAATGACATGTTAACTTGCTCTTTTTGTTGTATTTTATTATGTATCAGATACATATCAAGATACATATTTCATATGTATCCAGATATCATATTTGAAATGTATCTAGATATCATATTTAAAATGTATCTGCTCGAGTTAAAGTATATATTTACATTCACTGCCAGGTGACTATCAAGCTGTTCAGTGTTAATACACATTAGTAGGTATATCGATGGATTTCGATAACTATTCCTCAACATCATGATGGATTTTCCCAGACCCCCCCCCCCCTCTTTTCCCTAATTGTGCAAGTTTACTTACTCTTTGATCCACCTTCATTCCTTCAGCTGTGAACAGCCAGTGAGTGAAGGGGTGTGTAATTCTACCACTTTCTCAAGCATGGTATGGAAATTACCATGACCGTAGATTCTACATGAAACCTTCCTCAAAAGAGGTTCACTGTTTTGGGACCCCGATTTTCCATGATAGTCTCTATATTTGTATATGAAACTATGCTTAGCACCAAGATTATAATGCTCTCCTTTGTTCATGATGCGCAAATTCCTCTAAAAACCGTATAAATAGTTAGGGGCAAAAATGATTAACTTGTGATTTTCACATAAAAAGAGACAGCAGAGAACCCTAGGAGTAAACACAGAGACTACACTTGAGATATATAGAAAACTAGCCGTTCTGGGCGCGCTTCGCGCGCCCGTCACGCCTAGCCGGGGGCTAAGCCCCCTGGACACCCGGTCACTCGCTACGCGAGTGACATTCGGCTCGCTTCGCGAGCCAATTTTGTAGTAGTTGCAAATTTTTTATCACTATATTTTGAAGATTTCATAGAAAACATTATGAAATTCTCACTCCACAATTAACTTGTAGAATAATAATGGCAGGGCAAGAAATAGACTATATCTTAAAATGGACGGTTCCCACTTAGTATAAAAACAGCCAACACCACGTGAAGGTGAGGAACCATCGTTAGCCACTTTTTTTTTCTTTACTTTTCTGAAAAAAATTTACTGAAATTTTAGTTGCGTCCCCTAAAAGGAAACACGGAGAAAAAAATTTGTGCATGGAACCCGAAGCTGAGATCATATGGATCTCTGAAGTTTCCGGATCACGCATCCGAAAAGTTAAGGTCCATCTGCCGAAGTTCGGGTCAGACAATTGAGGTAGTTCGGTATATACCGAAGATTTCAGGTCACACATCTGAAGTACTCGGTGCATACCGAAGTGCTTCAGATTTCTGACTCAGAGATTTAGGAAAAACACAGTAGAGAACCAAGGAAATCACAGTAGAACAGAGAAAAAAATACAGTCGAATAAATAAAGAAAACTATTATCGAAGAAATTCTAATTATTAGAAAGTAATTAGCTGGCGTAATCAATGCGTAGCTGCATAGGAGCATGAGCGAGATTTATCATCAACTGACCGCTGGCCGCTGGCCGCTAGGCACCTGGGTGGGCGAGCGACAATACGTAAGCGGTGGCATATGGTTCGATTGACAGAGGAGTGGGGAACGGTCAGACGTAGGGGAAAGGTTCAGGCTGAACCGTTCAGCACAGCGCAGCGTCAGTCACCGGGTGGGGAAGAGAGTCCGGGAGGGGACACTTCCCCTCGAGTGAAATAGAAAAAGGCAGAATCCTTCGAAGTTTATATTAATGATACGAATTTTTAGATACATGTATTTTATACATGATAAATTCTGTATTTGGATACAGGATACCCCCCCCCCCCCNCCCCCTGGTGTACATGAAAATTTGACGTCCTTCAAGCATGGCTGCCTTCCCTAGTATTGAATACTTAGTTATGATGGGTGTGAATTGAGGAAAAACAGTGTTAAAATGTTGACAGAATGGCTAATATCTTCATGGAAGGAACTGGAACCTGCGATTAAAGTGAGGTTCACTTAACACACAAACCAAACCAGTCATGAGAGGAAAATCATACTTACAAAAACAATTCCTCCTAGCATGATGTATAATTTGACATTTTTCCAATATAGAGATTGCTGTAAAGACCGGCTCTGAGTGCGGAAATTAACAGAGCTTGCTTGGAGATCTTCAGTTTTGTTGACTAATAGTTCAAGTCTTTCACCTCTCATTGCTACGTTATCTGTATGCAGAGAATAAAACTTCAGCCTGACAAATAAAGAAACAGTTTTTGATGGTCGCTTGTGGTAGTTCATGAAGGTAGTATAAAACTAAAAATCTGATGAAATCTTTTTTTGCTTGTACTGTGATGTGATATTGATGACCAAAATCATTAATTTGTTTCGTTTCTGCTCTTGATTTGATTTGATTTATTTATTCTTTTGCTTTTGGCACATTTGGCTTCACAAAAACGTCATTTTCAGAATAAAGATACTTATATAAACATATTTACATACAATTTGTCTTAGGGTGATTATTCAATATTATTAATATTATTACAATTATATTCGTAAACGGTTTTTCTCATAATGAGAATTCACAAATCTTTATCTAAAAATTCATTGATTGAATAAGGGCATTTTGCTATTGTGTCGGCCAATCACCGCTCACCTCTGGCGACGCAGCCCATGCTCGCTCTTGATTGGCTGACGCAGTCTCAACCACGGCTATATATGTCGTGACCTCACCACTTCAAGTCACTCCGCTCCCGTCAACCACATGGACCACATCCCCCATCCAGCGGACATTATGCAGCCGGCCGGCTTGCCCCATTCCAACGGCCCTGTTCAGGGCCACCACATTAGAGCACCTCTACCGGTCTTTGGCCATATTGGTGATTTCCGACGTGAATACGCTCATCCTTCTGAATAACTTCACACAAGCAATCTCACCTCAAGAACACGTACGGCCTTCTCTCATGTCATCTGTACTCAAGCATTCAACCACTCAAATCTTTCACTGGAACAGTCAAATTCGGTCATCTTAGCATGAGAATTGAACGGATCCAGCCTCACCGCATCGTCTCATCCCTCTCCGCCGTGCAGATCAACACGCTCCAGCAAGTTGCCGCAGAACACAGCACGTTCCCAACTTGTTGTCCCGAGCATCAACCTCTTTGCCCGGAAAGATGATGGTAACATTTCTTCAAACGTTTGTCACCCGGGTTGAATGGCGCTCCCCGGCAAGCTGACATACACCTCCCATCCTTCTCTTCACTCGATCAATTCTCAACTCTCTATCATCACTTAATCAATCCTCAACTTCCCATCCACTTTACAAACAGTTTCCGATCTTGTCACCACTCCAACATCCAATTTCACCACTCACTTCTCCAACCGTTACCCACAGAGACTCCGTCTCAACCGCAGGGAAGTACTGCGGCGGCCAATCACCGCTCACCTCTGGCGATGCAGCCCATGCTTGCTCTTGATTGGCTGACGCAGTCTCGACCACGGCTATATATGTCGTGACCTCACCACTTCAAGTCACTCCGCTCCCGTCAACCACATGGACCACATCCCCCATCCAGCAGACATCATGCAGCCGGCCGGACACCACATTAGAGCACCTCTACCAGTCTTTGGCCATACTATTAAATGTCTTGTGGCCAGCTTACAGAATGTTGGTTTATATATGCTTTCCTTTACGATATTTGGCAATCTATTAAAGAATTTCCATGCCTTTGTGAGGTATGCGTCGTTCTTTGATAAAATGCTTAATTGGTGATACCTTGTGCCATACCCATGTGTCTCTGCCTTATCTCTCTTCAGCCTTTTGGCCAGTAATTTTAGGTGATTCATAATTATTTTGGCTGGTAATGTTAATATCTCATTTTTTATGAAGTGTTCTCCGCATGATGTGTCTTGCTTCAGTTTCAGAATGGTTCTGATTGATTTTTTTTGGAGAATAAAGATTTTCTTTATCTGTTTATTACTCGCGCATGACCAAGTATTGATACAATAATTTATATGAGACTCGACTAGTGCGTGGTAGGCTAGTAGAAGAAGTTTTTAATCGCAGAATTTACTTTACATCCTAGCTATCCTAGCTAAAAATCTGAAAATTTGTCCACAGGCAAAACTTTTTGCGTAATTTTACAAGGTTATAACATAGGTCCCTACCAAAAAGTTTTTGCAAATCCTTTTTTCTCAGCAACTTTGCCGCAAACGCGATTTGCAATGAGTGCAACCCATATCACAGCTGTAAATGTAGCAAAGTTGAAAATTAATATACAGGGTATCCGCAAGATAACATGCTTAACTTTCAGGATCCATTTATCGGCTAAAAATATGACACTTTAATTCCAATACACGTATACCCGAAAACGCTTCATAATTGAGCTATACGCTTCCAAAGTTGCTTTTTTTTCTCTTTCAAATTGATGTAACTCTTCATTATTTCGTTGTAAGTATCTGAAACTTAAGAGTGGAGGGATATTTTTTAGCGTAGGTACTGTTCAATTTTTGTTTTTTCAAGGACGTATGTCTACAGAAAGTACAAGCGTTCCCAAATTTTAAAATTGCGAAAACTTTTTTGCTAGATGATATTTGGAAAAACGGATTAAAGCATATGAAAGAGCGCAAAAAATCAGGGCCTCAATGTACTGCACAAAATTTTCCAGAAACGAGTCATTTCGACGCAACAGAGCTATAAAAAAATTCCAGATTTTCGAAGCTCCTTGCTGGATAGGCAATTTTTACTTTCGGGACTATAAGAAAATTGCCTACAGAGCAAGGAGCAAAGAAAAGCCGTCACGACAGCTTCAGGATTTTCAAAGTCCCTCGTACATTGAGGTCCTGATTTTTTGCGCTCTTTCATGTGCCTTAATGCGTTTTCCCAAATATCATCTAGCAAAAAAGTTATCGCAATTTTAAAATTCGGGAACGCGCGTAACATAATTTTCCAAAGACGTGCGTCCTTGAAAACACAAAAATTGAACAGTGAGCTAAAAAATACCCCTCTACACATTGTTTCAGCTACTTGCAACTGAATAACACGGATTTACATCAATTTGAAAGAGAAAAAATGACAACTTTGAAAGCGCATTGCTCACTTATGAAGCGTTTTTGGGCATATGTGTTTTGGAAAAAAAGTCATATTTTGAGCCGAAAAATGGATCCTGAAAGTTAAGTACGTTAATTTCCAGACACCCTGTATGATTATGGAAACTTTAACACAGTTGAACAGTACACAGGCTGTGCATTCCATAGGTTTATACATCACAGATATTAAGAAGAGACTTCAAGAGAGGAAGATGAGGCATGAAACCATACATTACATTTAAGACTAAAATAAGAGATTCATAATGCCATTCAGAGTAAAATCATGAAAATAATTGACGAAAACTAATACGGACGTAAAAATAATTTACAAATATTAAATCAAGCTTACCTATATTTCTGACCATAATGTTTTTCAGTTCATCCAGCTCTCCATGCACCCTTGAAAGGGTATCTATGTCTTTAGACTCGGAAAAATGTTTCTGAAATAGAAGTAAAAAAAATGTATTAGCTAACAATATTAAATTAATGCCTAGGTATTATGAGGTATTTATGATTTTAAGAGAGTAAAAGTGGTTTAAGTTTAATTTTTAATACAAATGTTCAAATTGGATGATGTTTCAAATGCAGTGCCACCATGATAAGATTCTTCGCAACTTTAGATAGGGACTTGGTAATACTCATTGCGCTATGAAATTGAGAAATAAATTGTCTTATCACGAAATGAAAACCATTGGGAAGCACATTCTTGCAACTACCTAACTATAACAATGGCTACTTAAGATTTTAAAGTTTTCTGACACCCCTAGCAAAAATCCGAAGGCCTATTTTAGGGACAAATAGTATTAGCGGTATTTAAAATTACTCCAGAACGGAATGTCGGATCTTGGCAGGTTGAAAACAGAGTAAAAGATCTTGATACAAGCTATAACATAGTGATACTCCGATGCACTGTTAGCTATTAAATATCTGGTTATAGGGTCCTGAAGTCGGTGCTGTCATTGATGATAATCACTAATTAAAGCTCTCATAACCCATGCTGACTTTGTTCAAAACTACTATGGACAACAATTTCAAAAAGTTAGTTAGTTACATTCAAAGCAAAAATTCTTATTTATTAGAAAATGACCCATCAACAAAGGATTTGAATGAAAGAAATCTCTGAGAGTTGGTGGTAGAGACACTGAAATCTAACGTCCTACACCAGTAATCAAATCATTACTTTGTTTTCATTTTATATTTTTCTCATAATTATTGATTTTCTGGGGATAGATATAGCTGCTACGAAGGAAAAGCGATTTCTTACCATTTCATTGGCCAAAACAGGGGCAAAATCAACATTCATTGCATATGCTACAGCATATTCAGCTCTATTTCCAAAAGTGGAACGGAATCTTTTCTTGATTTCTCGGAGGAAAAGGAAAGCTCTCGATCTTGGAAACTCCTAAAGAAAAGAGAAAAAACAATTTATATAAATAGTGTTTTTCCTATGGATGACATGTTAGAATGAAATCGTTGACAAAAAATACTTGGATACATTAATGCTACCTTCATTTTTTCTTGAGGACTCGCCGGTGAATTCCTATCCCAAGTAGTTTCTTAAAAATCAGAGATGGCTGACTTGGGCGGATACCGTTATTTTTTCCTGAGCCTTAATATTAAATAAACCTGCACTTCACTTACAAATTATTGCACTAAGCGGGCTAAGTCGCATTCTTCTTTTATCAGAGACTTCTGCATTCATTGCAGAAAGCAAGAGTATTCCTCAAAATCAGTCTGTCTACGCGCATTGCAAAGGATTTGGTTACATAGCTCATTAATCAAACAAATGTAAATCACACTCATGTCCACCTGTGTTTGAGGATCAAGGAGGAAAATACCTTTGCAGGTGTACAAGTATGCCATGAAAAATTTTGCATTAAATTTGCAGTCCAAGACCTCCTATGCTCCGAATAAGGCATGTGACTAGAATGTTCGTGGCTTTAGTGCATAGTTAGATGGACAGCTCATACAAAAGCTCTCTGACTGTGACCTACTGTACAGCAAAGCATTTGTCGAAAAAGTTTTTGCTTACTAACATAGTTTATCCAAAAACTCTCCATGGTTGGAACCGAGATCCAGTGTTTCGTAAACAGCCTCTCCAGAAAATTTTCTCCCTGAACCCACTGAGCAGCAAGGCATATTTAGTCAAGAATGTTTAATTTTGCGGTCTACTTTGCAAAGAGAAGTGAGCAAAAACATAAAAAACAGGTGAATCTGGTTACCTCATTTCATTCCGATCAATTACATTACACAAGTTTCATCCAGGTCGGCCAGTTAACGACCAAAAATCAATTTTCAATTTTCCGCCATTTTGAGCTTAAAGCAGCCGCCATTGAGAAACGGTAAAACATGACAACCTATGGTTTGCGCTAGAAATTAAGTATCTATTCTTAGAGTCTTTCTGACAAGGTATCGCACGATGGGGGTTCCGATTCGAAAGTCGCCCCCTCCACAGGAAAACGGAGGGTCATGCGGCCCCCCCCCCAATACACACACACCCTCACACACCCACCCTCTCACACACACACCCTCACCGACACACACACACACACACCCTCACCGACACACACACACACACACACACACACACACACAAACATGTCAATACCTGCATCCTTTGTCGAGACATTAACAAGTGTCCATATTTTGTGCACACTCTGTATAAACAACCCCCTCCGCCAGGAAACTAGAAAAGAGTTTGTGAATGATGTAGAAACTTGCACCAGAAATAGCTGGAATAACCACGGTAATTTGCGTTTCAATATCTAGATCAGGTATCATGTTACAGTCAGGATGCAAATTCAAAAAATACCTTCAAAAATGAGTGGAAATCAGGGACTTTGCCATCCTATATTTCGATTCGTATACTCAATCTTAATTTTTTTTTTCTTCCGTGTAGAGGATTATCCTAAGGATGAAAAAAACCTCTCGCAGACTCCGAATTCGTGGGCCCAAAAGAGGGTAATTTTGTGTATGGCGTAGCTCTTTGTAAGTTGGGCATTTATCACCAAAGGACAAGTGCGCATTTAACATTATAAAACGGAATTGATAGCAGAGGACATGTTTTGTTAGACATTCCCTGCTTTTGATATTTTAAATCCGACATTTCCAAGTGTCACCAAAAAAGTGATGAGGAAATTATGTAGCCAAATATAAGTGTTGACAATTGTTACTTACGTCATCCGTAATACACATGTAGGTGATTCTGTCTTCGTGGTCATAATGAAACAGATAATTTCCATGAGACAATGTTGATTTGTCTGTGTCCGGGTTGATTTTTGATAGAATCTGCTCTGTCACCTCCGTGAAGTTTCCAGCGCATGCAGCATACTTGGCTAGAATAGTTGTTCCCCGGGCAATAACACTGTACAAGATGGCAGATTTTGTTGGCATTGTTATATTTTACGGCCGATTCTAGAACAGAAAATAGTAAACACTTAAAGGACTGCCTCAATAGGGAGATAAGCAAAACTGCCCATGCAAAAGACTGTGAGGGGCACTAAAGTTTTACTTGCTGTGAAAGTTCAATAAAATTCAAAGATTGAAACGAATAAGTAATTATTTCTGAAAATGAAAATTGTTAAAACCCTTAAATGATATGAGATGTTTCTGCAAATGAAATTGAATGTTCGTAATGCAGGTGATAACTATGGTGACTTATCCTCTAGTATGGCTGTTTGCACGGAAAATTCAAGAAAAAGGACTAAAAAGGGAGCCGATAGAATAAAACTAATCCACCTCATAATTAGGGGTGCACGTCGAAACCACTCGAAAGCACTACGTGAGCTGGCACTTTATAGATGACAGTTATAGTTTTTGGAAGCTTATGTAATGACGCGTAAGAAAGGAAGGGAAGGAACAGTCATGCCTAAAAATGCACGAAATGACGTTATTTGGAAGTAATTGACAGTGTGTGCTACTGACTAACCACTGCCTGGCATCTGTCTAGGATTCTCTAAAATTCTTTAACTGAAAGTCCGAAGTAAACTAAGCTTCTAGGAATTTTTGCAGATTTTTTTTTACCTAGAATGGCAAAGATACTTCGTTTTGCAAGTGCCAAAAGTGGGACGAAACGATATTTTTGGCGGGCGCAGATGGCGCATGGAGTAGCGAGGCAGCGGAAACTGCGTTTGCTGATTAGGTGAACTCATCTTCACGCATAGCTTTGCTTTGTCAAGTTGACAATCGGTTTTTGATAAGCTTTTTCTCCCCTTAGAAATGATTTTTTCTAGTCTGAAAAGAACTTTTTGGTTTCTCCTGAAATTTAACGTAAAATACACATTGTACATCCTTGTAAAAATTCTTTACCTCTGTCCCATTGCACATTATTTTCTAAGTGTTCAAGAGATAGACTGAGGAAGACAAGAATTGCTACACTACTTTCCGTCTGATTTTAGCTAAGACTATCACCTTAATGGACTTACTAGCTGCTTCAGCTCGCTACGCTCGCTTGCGCCGCTAGCCGAGGGCTTCGCCCCTTGGACCCCCAGTCACTCGCGGGCGAGTGACTGTTGGCTCGCTTTGCGAGCCAAATTTTGCTACTACACGCGATTAAAGGACTTCATTGGATACGATGTTTTTTGTACGCCTATCAACTTTTCACGCGACAATTTCAACTTTTACTTCTTCATGAGACGTAGCCCTTGAGAGTGTAACGTAACGAGGTCCATAGGTGAATGCAGGCTGTGGCAGGTAAATGCCAACACGATCTAATGTTTGACCCTGGGCTTTACTGGTGGAATAAGTTCAATTGAGTGGAGAGACATTTTGAAACGTCGGTCTCGAACTTCGAAAAACCAAGGGGTGCTGGCACATCTAGAGCCTAAGAGCTTTCATTTAAAACAAATCAGAGGAAAATCGGTCCAGTAGTTTCCGAGATCAAATTAGCACAAACTTCTTCTTCGAAAATCCATTCTAACAAAGCCGTTGAAGGATGAGCTCCTCATACATTGTCCTAATTTAGTGTCACAGATTCTCATCGCCAGTCTTTTATCTTCGTCTCGAGTCCACGGCTTGTTGCTCGTTTTGAATTCGTTTGCTTCTGATAGCACAAGTACCGAAATTCCTCTTTTCCTTGCTTCTCTGTTTACCAAATCATGAGACAATTTACATCCGTTTTTATTATTTGCCGCCACTATCAGAATATCTGACGTATGGGGGACTGTTGTCACAGGTTTAGCAATCCTGCGGACCCCAGCTGGTAGCCCCTGCCTCAAAGGGGGCAGTGGAGATGGTCACCGGCCTCTGGGCGTATGAACCACCTGCTAGAAGGGCAGACAGGGCTCTCAGCTGAAGTGAAAGCAACCTGTCTAGGAGAGGCAACTCCGAAATCAAACCCTGGTCCTCCAGGTTGGGGGTTGAGTCATCGGGCTAACTCCCCGGTACTTGTTAAAGGTTTTACTGTTAAACGACCTAACAATACAAGCCTCGGTACCACTAGAACTAAACGGACACGTCGACAAAAATTGAGAAAACGGACATTGGTATTTGGGACGTGGAATGTCCAAGGCATTTCAAATAAGTTACCGGAAGTGATATCGGAGATTCAGAAACTTGGAGTGAATGTCGCTGTTCTTACTGAGACCAAGAAAAAAGGGCACGGGTCAGAGAATTACGGTGACTATGATCTATTCTACAGCGGCGTAGCCAAAGATGTTTATTATTTTATATTTTCTTAACGAGGGTTTATGTAATAATGAAGTTATATTGTAGGGGGGGAGATATTTTATATTTTTTAAGTCTTGAAACATTTTATCTCTGTCTTTTAGTTTTCCGCATTGGAAGAGGATATGGTTTAGATCGCCTAGCAGGCCACATTCACATTTATCGGTATCTTTGAGGTTTATGCGTTTAATGTGAGTTGGGAATAGACCATGTCCTATTCGTAATCTTATAAAGTTCTTAGTAGAGGATCTGTTCCAATGGAATTTGTGGAACCATGGTTTTTTGAGATTTTTGGTTGGATTAATTTTAGTTTTTGCCCTTTCCAAGTGCAGGCATTCCATTCTAAGTTCCATTCTTGGAGCATATTCATCTTTATTACTGGTAGCAATTGTTTGTAATGAAGTTCATTGTTAATTTTATTAGCTAGTGGGAGGATTTTTGTTAGGGCATCTGCTTCTTCATTGCCAGGAATGCCAACATGACTAGGTATCCATAGCATATGGATATTATTGAAAAGGAGCCTTTTAGTGTTCAATAAAGTAGGAGTTAGATCGTTTTTACGATTTAGAAGGGTGGTTAAAACGCTTTAAGAATCCGAGCATATAAGGAGATCTTTTATATTATTTTTAATAATGTATTTCACGGCTTCTTCTATGGCTATAGCTTCGGCATCGAAAATTGTAGAATATTCAGAGAGTCTAAATAGTTTGAAAAAGTCATTTACTGTGAAGACAGCAGTTACATACGTATCTGTTTTCGCTCCATCTGTGAATATTTGGGTCATTTGATTGTACCTAGTATTGACATGGTCTCGGAATCTGTTACGAATTATGGATTGATTTCCAATTTCGTTTTTTTTAATATTTAGAAAGTCGATTGATGGTTGGAAGTATTGGAATTTAGGGTCTTGGCATAATAAAGGTGGTAAGCTAACCTTAGCAATCTCATTCTCGTATATTTTTAATTTAAGCCATCTATGGACAATTAGAGGGAATTGTTTATTTGACCACCAGGGGCTATTAAAGACAGACATTTCCAAGAGTTTGAGGTCATTAATGATCGAATTATTTTCATAGCTCATAGCTTTTATAATTAGCTTATCTGTTAGGTAGTTGAACCTATGTTGGATAGTGGGGATTGCTGATTCTACGTTAAGGTTGTTAGTAGGTGTTGAATTTAGAGCACTTAGAACTTTTCTGATACATTGGTTTTGTATTTTATTGGTTTTATCTGAAATTTCGTAGTTATTGCAGTAGACAGAGATGCCATAATCTATTATTGGTCTTATCATGCTAAGGTATAAGAGTCTAGGAACATTTTGATTGACACCCCATGCGGCTCCATTTAGGTATGATAGAATATTTAGTTTCGTCTCTACTTTTTCTTTAATAAATTTAAGGTGGGAGTGCCATTTCATTTTATTATTGAATATGAGGCCAAGATATCTAGCATTTGATGAGATAGGAATGTTGGTATCATTAAGATACCAACCAGATTAATAGAGTAGTTAGGGGGGATTCTACGATTAGTGAAAATTAGGATTTTAATTTTTTTCATGGAGACGTCTAATCCTAGTTCATAGATTTCTGTTTGAAGGTTATAGAAGTCTCTTACCACCACATTGATTGCTTCATCTAGGCATTTATTTTGGGAGAAAATGTTAACATCGTCTGCAAATTCTGAGATATGGCTAAAGAAGGTTATTTTAGAATGTAGATTAGCAGAGTATATTAAGTATAACAAGGGGCTTAGAATGCCTCCTTGTGTAGTCCTTTTGGTATTCGGCGAGGACCCATCGTTATAAATTGATTTCGGAGGAACATATCGTTATTAGTAATTAGATTTAGGATTATTTTAGTGAAATCTGGGTTTATTCCTTTGGACAGGAGTTTCTCAAATAGGATGTCATAATTTACATTATTATAGGCATTTTCTATATCCAGGAAAATAGTGGGCATGTATTCTTTATTTCCTATAGCTTTGTACGCGTGCGTGCTAAGTTGGATCAAGTTGTGGTAGATATTTTTACCTTTACGAAAGCCAAATTGAAATGGGGAGAGCTTGTTATTGGATTCTAGGAAGTATTCTAGTCTGTTAAGTAGAATCCTCTCAAATATTTTTCTAATAGCTGAAATAATCCCGATTGGGCGATAAGATCTAGCAGAATTAGGATCTTGGTCCGTTTTTAACTGGGCAAATATTAGAATTTTTTTCCAGGATTCAGGAATTTTTTTTTTGTTAATAGAATCTCATTAAATATGTTGCACATATGTTGTTGAGCCATTGTAGAAGCTTTATTGATACATTCTATTGGTATATTATCCAAACCTGGATTTTTCTTTTTTTAATTTAGCTAAAGCAAGTTTTAATTCTTCTATAGAAATTTTTTCCCATGATTCATTAAACGTAGAGAGGTCATTCCATTGATTGGCATATTGGGAATCAGGAGTGAGGTTGTGGAGGAAGTCGTCCGTCCAATCATTATTTTTGTTGGGGTGGGGAATCAGGGCTCTCTTAAGAATTTTCGTTTTTTCAAATATAATTTTGGCAGGGGTTTTATGGTTTAAGTTATTAGTAAATATCTTCCGTTGTATTCTTTTTTGTTTTTTCGTAACAAGTTTAAATTGAGCTCTTACTTTCGCCCATTCAAGGTAAATATTTATACTAGGATTATTTTTATAGGCTAAAGCTAAACTGTCTCGTTTGTTTTTCAGATTTTGACATTCTTCATTCCACCATGGAATTTGTTT